CTGTTGCAAAGATTCATCTCTGCTATTGTAGTGCAAAAGCAGCCAAAGACAATATATAAACAAATGAAAGTGGCTGTGTTCCAATGAAACTTTACTTAGAAAAACAAGCAGGGGACCATAAATTGCTGATGAGTTTCAATTAAAAAATACATCATATGTGGAAACTCTCTGTACTTTCTGCTCAATTTTTCTGTAAACCTAAAACTTCAAAAAAACATGTCAAAGAAAGTAAAAATAATTTAGAATCAGGTAATGATCAAAACCTCCATGGCATCTCTTGGTTTTCACTGAGTGTTAAATCTGCTTGATGACTAAGTCGTAAGCATCAACTGTCATGTATGCTCTCCAAGGGTCTCAAACTGTTTTATTTTATAGGGATCTTTTTTAGATCTTATTTTATTCATTGATTAAAACAAACAGAAAATTGTGACATGTGATTACCACATTTAGTAACACAAACACCCAGAGCACCTTCTTCAACACTTGGGGGAATTGTTGGAGAAATTGCTGATTTATGTTATGTTGCTATTCTCCTATCACTGATGTACTAATTACTTTGTTTGAGTTTCCATCCTACAGTATTTATTTTTCTCCTATTCTATGAATGTGCCATGGAGTATGCTTTTGAATAAGTCTGTTAAAATATTTACAATTATCGGCTGTAATATCTCTGTAACTAATCTGATAATTAATTTGAAAAATTATTTTAAACTAGTGTTGCAGCTGAATTAACTTTACAAACTTAAATATGATTATAATGTATCTACTTTTAACTTTTTTATTGTGAAAGATAATACATACAGAAAAGTATATAAAACAGATATGTCCAGTTTAACAAATCATAAAGCAAACAGCAGTGGAACTACCATGCAAGTCAAGAAATAGAGCATTGGGGCCGGCCCCCTTGCCGAGTGGTTAAGTTCGCGCACTCTGCTTCGGCGGCCCAGAGTTTCTTCAGTTCGGATCCTGGGCGTGGACATGGCATTGCTCATCAGGCCATGCTGGGATGGCATCCCACAGGCCACAACTAGAAGGACCCACAACTAAAACTATACAACTATGTACGGGGGGGTTTTGGGGAGAAAAAGGAAAAATAAAATCTTTAAAAGTAAATTAGAAAGAAAGAAATAGAGCATTGCCAGCACCCCAGAAGCCTCTTATATGCCCCTTTCCAACTAGAACTCCTTACCCCTGAGGCTAACCATAATCCTGAGTTTTATAGTATCCATTTCCTTACTTTTCTTTATAGTTTTAGCACCAAGTTTGTAGCTCTAAACAATATAGTTTAATTTTGCCAATTTTTTTTTTTTAGAGATTGGCACCTGAGCTAACAACTGTTGCCAATCTTCTTTTTTTTTTCTGCTTTTTTTCTCCCCCAATCCCCCCAGTACATAGTTGTATATTTTAGTTGTGGGTCCTTCTAGTTGTGGCATGTGGGACGCCACCTCAGTATGGCCTCATGAGGAGTGTCATGTCCACACCCAGGATCCAAACAGGCGAAACCGTGGGTTGCCAAAGCAGAGTGTGCAAACTTAACCACTCAGCCACGGGGCCGGCCCCTAATTTTTGCCTGTTTTCAAACTTTACAGGTGGAATCATACAGTTTGAATTCTTCAGTGAATGACTAATATTTTACTACTGTATTCATTGTAGCCATTCAACGATAAAAATGGCCAAGGTAGACTGAAGTAATGGAATATTGAGCTGTATTCAAGCTTGTCCTCAGTAAAACTGCTCTGTGGGTGACCTGTCACAACACATTTAGTGCCTCTTCCTGTCCTTTAACCACATTTTCTATCATGCAGGATGCTGTTGCAGGTGCCTAATGATAATCATGGTGGGTTGTGAAAGGCATAGCACTTGGCTTTGAAAACAGAGTTCTCAATGTCTATGTGAGATCTTGTATCACCCTGTAAATTTTATCTTGATAGGATTGATTTTATGTTTTATAAAGATTATTTATAAAGATTTTAATAATGTGAATGTTAATGCATACATATAAGAGATACCTATATATGCATACATACTTGTGTTTCTGACTGAAGAAACACTTTAGTCACCTAAAACATTTGATTTTATAGAAAAAATACTTTGTTTTTCAGGTGAAACTTCCACCGATGATGGAAATCATAACTGCTGAACAGCTGATGGAATATTTAGGTTAGTGTTGAAAAGTGGATGATTTTATATCTCTTTCAAAATAAAACAAATTTTTCAAAGCTAATATATTGCTGAATCTCACCTTTCTGAAGTGCTATTATATAATCTATTTTAAAATTATAATTTTGAATCTCTTAATTAAAAATGCTTATGTTTGCTACTGTTCTTAGATGTTAAAGCCTTCTTTCTTTCTTTTTTTAAAGCCTTCTTTCAGACCAGCATTAAAATTCTGTAATATAAATCAGGAGACTGGATGATATCTAGAAAACAAGATACATATTAATTCCAATAAGTTGCAGAATGGGAAATGGCACAGAAACTCTGACCTTGCATGTAGAAAGTGTTAAAAAAATATCACGTAGACTTGAATTAAAGACCCAGGAGATGATTTAGAGCAGTGCTACCCAAAGTATGATTCATGGACCTGTGCCAGTGTAGGAAATGTTAACCAGCCTGGAGTGTGATAGGGGCTTGTACCAGAATGTAAAACATTTACATTAGCAAGCACATTGTTTAGTTCATCTGAAATTTTTCCAGAGCAAAATCTTCTTCATGAAGGAAGCAGTGTATTGAATTGCATTCTTACGCAAGCTTCTTATTTCAAAACAGTCCAGTAATACACAGTTTGCAGACCAGCTGCATTGAGTAGAACTTGTTTACAGAGCAGGTAGTTGTATATCACACTGTAGTCTTTTACAGTTTAGCAAATAAGAATTTATATATTTATACTATTACCAAATAGGAAATCTTAATCCATATTCTTACTCTTTTTTTAGTAATTAAATTTTTATTTAAAAAAAAATCTTGCCAACTGATTAGTTTGTCTACAACATTCCAGACAATTAGCTGATTTTTTTTTTTTAAGATTTTATTGTTCCTTTTTCTCCCCAAAGCCCCCGAGCATATAGTTGTGGGTCCTTCTACTTGTGGCATGTGGGACGCCACCTCGACATGGCTTGATGAGCGGTGCCATGTCGGCATCCAGGATCTGAACTGGTGAAACCCTGGGCCGCCAAAGTGAACTTAACCCCTTGGCCACGGGGCCAGCCCCACTAACTGATTTTTTGTAAGATATAGGCTTAGTTAAATAATTGAGATTGCAGCTTTTGGAAGATGCTTTTCTTTATGTAATCTCGTTCACTGGCTAGGGAACTTCGTAGTTATGGGTAGATTACTTTGAATACCTAGATATCTGGAAATAGAATTTCTATTTATAGCTCTTTTAGTCTAGCCTAGTGATTCTTAAACTTTGTGATTTCTAAATTATATTTTGTGGGGAAAGCTGAAATATGTTTGGTGCTTTTGAGGAATAGCCAGAATTGACTGCCAAAAAGTGTGCAAAGGGGAGGTAGTAGGAGATGAGATTAGAGAGGTAATGGGGTCAGATCATATAGGGTCCAGTAGGCTATTATAGCGACTTTGACTTTTGCTGTGAGTGAGCTGGGAAGCCATTAGAGGATTTTGAACAGAGGACTAACATGATTTGACTTTGAATTTAACAAGAATTCTCTGGCTTTTATGTTGAAAATAGAGCTTAGAGCGGGGGTAAGGATAGAAGCAGAGAGATCGGTTAGAAAGCTATTACAACTGGCAAAAGATCATGGCTTCAAACAGGGTAGTAGAAGTGGAGATTATAAAATGTGGTCAGTTCTGGACATAGAGCTGCCAGAATTTGCTTATCAGTTGAATGTGGGGTGAGAGTGAGAGGGGAGTCAAGGATCATCCCATGGTTGTTTTTTTGTGGTTATTTTATTTTTATTTTTTTTTATTGAGTTTATGATAGTTCACAATCTTGTGAAATTTCAGTTGTACATTATTGTTTGTCGGTCGTGTTGTAGGTGCACCCCTTCACCCTTTGTGCCCAACCCCCACCCCCCTTTTCCCCTGGTAGCCCCTCATCTGTTCTCTTTGTCCACATGTTTAAATTCCTCATATGAGTGGAGTTGTACAGAGATTGTCCTTCTCTATCTGGCTTATTTCACTTAACATAATTCCCTCAAGGTCCATCCATGTTGTTGCAAATGGGAGGATTTTATTCTTTTTTATGGCCGAGTAATATTCCATTGTATATCTATACACCATATCTTCTTTATCCAATCATCTGTTGATGGACATTTAGGGTGCTTCCACATCTTAGCTATTGTAAATAATGCTGCAATGAACATAAGGATGCATGGGACTTTTGGAATTCCTGATTTCAAGTTCTTTGGATAGGTACGCAGTAGTGGCATGGCTGGGTCATATGGTATTTCTATTTTTAGTTTTTTGAGAAGCCTCCATACTGTTTTCCATAGTGGCTGCACTGATTTGCACTCCCACCTGCAGTACATGAGGGATCCTTTTTCTCCACAACCTCTCCAACACTTGTTACTTTTTGTTTTGGATATTTTTGCCATTCTAACGGGTGTAAGGTTATATCTTAGTGTAGTTTTGATTTGCATTTCCCTGATGATCAGTGATGATGAACATCTTTTCATGTACCTATTGGCTGTCCGTATATCTTCTTTGGAGAAATGTCTGTTCATGTCTCCTGCCCATTTTTTGATCAGGTTGTTTGATTTTTTGTTGTTGAGTTGTGTGAGTTCTTTATATATTATGGAGATTAACCCTTTGTCGGATATATGACTTGCAAATATTTTTTCCCAATTAGTGGGTTGTCTTTTTGTTTCAATCCTGTTTTCATTTGCCTTGAAGAAGCTCTTTAGTTTGATGAGGTCCCATTTGTTTATTCTTTCTGTTGTTCCCCTTCTCTGAGAAGACATGGTGTCTGAAAAGATCCTTTTAATACTGATGTCAAAGAGTGTACTGCCTACATTTTCCTCTAGAAGCCTTATGGTTTCAGGTCTGACCTTTAGGTCTTTGATCCATTTAGAGTTTATTTTTGTGAATGGTCAATTTTCATTCTTTTACATGTGGCTTTCCAGTTTTCCCAGCACCATTTGTTGAAAAGACTTTCTTTTCTCCATTGTAGGCCCTCAGCTCCTTTGTCGAAGATTAGCTGTCCATAGATGTGTGGTTTTATTTCTGGGCTTTCAATTCTGTTCCATTGATCTGTGCACCTGTTTTTGTACCAGTACCATGCTGTTTTGATTACTGTAGCTTTGTAGTATGTTTTGAAGTCAGGGATTGTGATGCCTCCGGCTTTGTTCTTCTTACTCAGGATTGCGTTAGCAATTCAGGGTCTTTTGTTGCCCCATATGAATTTTAGGATTCTTTGTTCTATTTCCGTAAAGAACGTCATTGGGATTTTGGGATTGCATTGAATCTGTAGATTGCTTTAGGTAGTATGGACATTTTAACTATGTTTATTCTTCTAATCCATGTACATGGAATGTCTTTCCATCTCTTTATGTCCTCATCCCCATTTCTTTCAGGAAAGCCTTGTAGTTTTCGTTGTATAGGTCCTTCAGTTCCTTAGTTAAATTCACCCCGAGGACCCTGAGGTATTTTATTCTTTTTTGTTGCAATTGTGAATGGTATTGTGTTCTTGAGTTCTTTTTCTGTTAGTTCATTAGAGTATAGAAATGCTACTGATTTATGTAAGTTGATTTTATATCCTGCAACTTTGCTGTAGTTGTTGATTATTTCTAAAAGTTTTCCAATGGATTCTTTGGGGTTTTCTATATATAAGATCATGTCATCTGCAAACAGTGAGAGTTTCACTTCTTCCCTCCCTATTTGGATTCCTTTTATTCCTTTCTCTTGCCTAATTGCTCTGGCCAAAACCTCCAGTACTACGTTAAATAAGAGTGGTGATAGAGGGCATCCTTGTCTCGTTCCTGTTTTCAGGGGGATGGCGCTCAGTTTTTGCCCATTGAGTATGATGTTGGCTGTGGGTTTGTCATATATGGCCTTTTTTATGTTGTGGTAATTTCCTTCCATCCCCATTTTGTTCAGAGTTTTTATTATAAATGGCTGTTGGATCTTGTTAAATGCTTTCTCTGCATCTATTGAGATGATCATGTGGTTTTTATTCCTCAATTTGTTGATATGGTGTATCACGTTGATTGACTTGCGGATGTTGAAACATCCCTGAGTCCCTGGTATGAATCCCACTTGATCATGATGTATGATCCTTTTGATGTATTGCTGAATTCGAGTTGCCAAAATTTTGTTGAGAATTTTTGAAATCTATGTTCATCAGCGATATTGGCCTGTAGTTCTCCTTTTTCGTGTTGTCCTTGTCAGGCTTTGGTATGAGCGTGATGTTGGCCTCATAGAATGTGTTAGGAAGTGTTCCATCCTCCCTAAATTTTTGGAATAGCTTGAAAGGTATAGGTATTAAATCCTCTGAAAATTTGGTAGAATTCCCCAGGAAAGCCCTCTGGTCCTGGGGTTTTATTCTTTGGGATGATTTTGATTGCTGTTTCAATCTCCTTGCTTGTGATTGGTCTGTTCAGACTGTCTGCTTCTTCTTGACTTAGCTTTGGGAGATTGTAAAAGTCTAAGAATTTATCCATTTCCTCTAGGTTATCCATTTTGTTAGCATATAGTTTTTCATAGTATTCTCTTATAACCCATTGTATTTCTGCGGAGTCTGTTGTTATTTCTCCTCTTTCATTTCAGATTTTGTTTATTTGAGCTTTCTCTCTTTTTTTCTTCATAAGACTGGCTAGGGGTTTGTCAATTTTATTTATCTTCTCAACAAACTGGCTCTTTGTTTCATTGATCCTTTCTACTGCCTTTTTTGTTTCAATAGCATTTATTTCTGCTCTGATTTTTATTATTTCTCTCCTTTTGCTGACTTTGGGCTTTGTTTGTTCTTCTTTCTCTAATTCAGTTAGGTGTAATTTGAGGTTGCTTATTTGGGATTTTTCTTGTTTGTTAACGTGTGCTTGTATTGCGATGAATTTCCCTCTTAATACAGCTTTTGCTGTATCCCATATGAGTTGGTATGACATGTTATCATTTTCATTTGTCTCCAGATATTTTTTGATTTCTTCAATGATCCATTGCTTGTTCAATAGCATATTGTCTAGTCTCCACATCTTTGTCCCTTT